GAGTGTTAATCATGTGATGTGATGATCACGAAGATATTACTGAGATCATTTTTCTTGAAACCACCCACCGGCTTACCTGTAACTGCAGTCGTGTGCATAAATTTTTTCGCAAGCATACACATAAAGACCATGTCTTCACAAGCCTCTACACCTTCTTTTCCAAGTTCAATAACAGAAGAAGAAACTTCTCAATGTCCATGTTCAATAAAGAATAATGTTGATTGATATTTCAAAATAAAATTCTTTATTATAAATTGTAGAGACACTGAGTTCTTTTACAGTATGTGTTAATTGTAAATAAAGAAATAATAAAAGATAACAGTATCTCAATTGTGTACACCTACACCAGTCTGAAAATTTCACAAAAAAATACTCATATATTCTTTGTAATATTTTTATCAAATTTTTACATGTCATCAATTTATTTACATAATATTCTTTTCCTATTTATTTGGGGTACTATGATATTCTTTATGTTCATCCATGAGAAATCGCTCTTGAGCTAACGTATTCTGGCTTTGTAGAAAATTGTCATTGAAATCAAGCTAATTAATAAAATGATTTATATATGATGAAAAAACATTAAGAATGGGTTTCAAAATTTTTACAAATCAAAAGAAAAGAAAAAATATTAGAATAAAGAAGGGTTTTTTGATGACAAGTTTAAATTTTTATTTGATTAATGATTTTGTGTGGGTATAGTTGTTAGACGAATCCTCGAGGTTTCGCGCTGTCGAAATGCGAAACCTAGTTTCGTCTTTCATCAATTAAAATTTTAAATAGCGAAACTGACGAAACTGTAAAGGGTGACAAAACTAATAAAAACGAATATACAAATAAATGTTGTTGAAAATCATTGAAGATTATTATGTGCATAAAAAAAATAACCAAAAACAGATATTTATAAAAATTACAAAAAATTTTATTATATAATAGGTACTTGAATTGTTTAAAGGGAGTTAGAAATGAGTATTCTATATTATATTATATTATACATATCAGTTCTAGTGAAAAATCGCTTTGTGCTTATTACAAATTTATTTTGTGCTAGTATGTTTTAATTCATAATCTATGAGTACTATGGCTTTTTGACAAGGCTATTTCAATCGGTCTATAACAACCCTAGAATTGTCCAGAAAAAATAAACTGGTTTATTTTTTGCTGGCATACATGTAATTTCGGATACTGATCTCTAAGAAAATAACATTTGTTTTCTTTTTTTTTTATTTTTTTTTGCATATTTTTATATATATATTTTTTTTTTTAATGTTTTTTTTTTTTTTTTTTAGAGGATGCACTAGGTTTTCGTCATTTTAAGTTTAAGGTTTGTCTTTCGTCAGAGGTTTCGACTTTCGTCATCATGCGAAAAATGTTTCGTCTAACATTATGATGATGTACGTTAACAAAATCATGTCTATTGTCATAATCTATTGTTATCTCTATAGTTTTGTTCTTTATTATTTTTGTAAATTAGTCTTCAACCGAGACTTCTTGCATGAGAATTTCTCTTTCTGCCGAGGGCATGACCTTCGAAGGTAGGTATTGCTCTGATTCATCCGATAATCCCACGTACGGTAAAACAATACACACCCATTCAATTTTTGGATTTTTTCCAAGAATTTTTGACCGGTCAAATATCACGATTAAAAGTAACAAGTAACATGAATATGATGCTGTCACATGCCTAATATGGAAAATAGAATGATTATCAAGATGGTACGTGCGTATCAGTATTATCGGGCAAAGGTTGTTAACTTACCACCAAGCATGTAATTGTGGATTTAATATTTTATTCATATTGGTACAAAAATGATAATCGATATTCCATCCAAGGTATCCAGTTAAAAATATTATAGTTCCTCGAATCATTAATTCTCCTATAGCTTTTTCATCCTTTAATTTAATTACGATTGCAATTGCATGTAGATATATGCAGATAGACATTAAGAAGAAAGATCCTATTTAAAATGAGATGATATAGTTAAAATTGCAATTTACTTGAATTTTTAGTACGTCAATTTAAGTAAAAATTCCCACCCTGAAAGATATAAAATTCAACTAATTTCATTATTTCGTTTTCATAATATTCCCCCAAAAATATTAATAATATTGAAAAAATCAATCCCCACAAGAAAAGGGAGATTGAAAACCAGTTCCCAAATTTTCTTTCTTTCTTATTTTCATTTACCGAATAAAATAATATCAACAAATAAAAAATCATTGGTATTCCATCAAAGTGTTCAAAAGGAAATATTAGCGTTCCGTGAAATATAATTGACCCGAATCCTATAAACATAATTCTAAAGATATCATTTAAAAAAAATGAAAGGTGATTAATTTCTTGCAAGGATGAAAATTATTTGATTTAAAAAACTTACGTTCTAAAACCTAATGTGAATCTATAATCAAAGCCTTTAGAATGCATTATAGAGCCAAATATTCCTGCGCAGATGAGACATAACGATGATAAGGTATTAAAAAATTCTGCGATATAATATGTTACTTCATAATTATTTTCACACCAATCTAGTGTACGAATCCAACGAAATTGTTTTTAAAATAAAGACACGGATCATGAGAATGACTTCATGTATAGCAGTAAAGTAGCAATTAAGAAAAATCGAACATTAACTCACCAACTATATATGTTTATAATATTTTTTTCGAATGATCAGTTAATATTGTGGCGTAATGAATATAAAATTTCTAAAAAATAATCATTAATACCTGTAGAAGTGGGTTCTCCCCAAAATCCAACGGTGGAATTCATTTGATTAAATTATAATATACAGTATTCTAAAGTTCAGAAGTGAATTGCTTTGAATGCTTCGCCTCTAATAAATTTACAGGTTAAAAACTTGGTCATTTATAATGAGCATTGTGCTACTCAATTTGATGCATGTCGACTAATTGAGATTTTTAATACAAAATGAGGAACATATTTAGTTAGGGATCGCTGTAGAGGTTATCCGTTTATCCATTTATCTATTGGAATATTTGTCGAATACCAATAGTAAATGGATATCCGGGAATGGATGATGGATTTATCCGGATTGGACCTCTAGATCGCTGGGATCATATTTAATTCTATTGTAATTAATTTTATTTTAGAACGATCACGTATCCAGATTCTCCGAAATATATCGAGATTTCCGAAATCTATTCCATAACCTCTAAGATTAAATTTTATTATGACGTACGGGCGGATTTTTTTGATTTGAGTGATGATTAAAATTTAGTAATGGTTCATAAAATTTGATCCAATCGTTTATCTGATATTGCGTAATTGCCGGATTAAAATACAAAAATATAATTGAAATTGTATTTGATTTACTGACTAATTTTTTTTTTTATGAAACCGTTTTATAAAAAACATGATAAAATTAAATCATAGGTTCATTACGTCTTTGATTACTAATATTTTGATATAATGATGTATTTTTGTTGTTTAAAGATAGCAAATTCATGGGTCTATGTCGAAATCCCGAAAGTCAAAACCCGAGCTTTAATTGTCGCGATTAGTAATAATGATTATGACGGATTAAAATTAAATCGAATTAAAATGAAATATTATACAAATGTAAAAAGTAGACAAGCCACCGAAAAATAAAAATTTTTGAGGTGCATTTTTTAGGGTTAAGATTAGAGTTAGTTATAGAGTATAGTTTATAATAAACAAGTATAAGTGGATTTTAGAGGGTTAAATAGAAGCCCTCATTTCATTTTAATTCGATTTCATTATGATCCACGACAAGAAATGATCAAGGCACGTTCATCTGATGATGATGAGCAAATTCTATTTTCAAGAATTAGAGATTTCAAAAGTACTTGGTTTGGAATTAATGTTTGGGAATAAACCAATGGTGATAAATTATTGGCTTGAGAAATTTATTGATAAGGAAAAAGATTTTGATCCGGATTCATTGGTTCAAGATTTTATTACAGCTGTTCTCATAAATTTTGAAACAAACTAAAAATATGTTCGTTTCCCGAAATCTCTTCGGTTTCGTCCTAAAGGTAGAGTTATTACCTGGGTCAAGGGTCGAAAATTGCTCTAAACGGGTCAGAATTCAAAATATGCAAAAACCTACTAAAATGTAGGGATGTTAACAGTCCGGTCTGGTTCAGTCTGGTCAACTTTGGTCCAAGTCTGGTCTATTATGGTCTTCTGCCTTAAGACTTTGTTAGTCTAGACCGGTCCAGACCGATCCAGTTTTAAGACTTAGAGCAACCCAATTTTTCTTAGGTTCAGACCGGTCTTAAGACTAACTGTGGTCTATTAGTCTAAGACCGGACCACATAACATCCCTACTAAAATGCTACATTACGCAATGTACTAATATAACTACAGTAAAAGCTCTATAAGTGCATGCTCTTGGGACCAAGCTTAACAACGTGCGCTTAGAGATCAATAAGAGAAAGCGCATTTATAGAGGGCATGCATATATTTGGGCTAGAACTTGAGCGTGCATTTAGAGAGGGTGTGCACTTATAGAGGGCGCACTTATGGAAGTTTTACTGTATATGTGTAGAAGGCATTATAATTTACTAAATAGTAAAGCTCTTACCCAGGTCGTCTGACCTGTGCGGGTCAGCTTCTTAGGG